ATAAGCAGGTTAGAGATATTTTGTCCTCAAACGGTATTACTCAAAAACTCACAGCACCTTACACTCCAGAACAGAACGGGGGAAGTGAGAGAGAAAACCGAACCGTCATTGAAATGGCTAGAACCTTGAAGTATACGAACCCAGAAGTCAAATTTCCGGAAAGCATTTGGGCTGAATTAGTAAATACTGCTATTTATATTTTGAATCGTACTGCCAAGTCGACAATCGAAGGATTAAGTCCATATGAGTTATGGATAGGACACAAGCCTAGAATAAAGCATCTAAGAATTATCGGCTCAAGTTGCTATGTCCATATTCCATGTCAAAAAAGAAAGAAAATGGATAAAAAAGCTACCAAGGGATACCTTCTAGGGTATGATGGAGACGAAAGATATAGAGTTTGGGTAAAAGAAACTCAAAAGGTTGTTCTGTCTCGAGATGTACAATTTGAAGAGAAACCAGAAGAATGTCACAGGGTAGAATTTGAAAAGAACCCAGAAGAAGAAGAAAAAGAAGAAGAAGATGATAAAGAAGAAAAATCCGCAGAGTATATAAAATTGTCATTAAGAGATTTTCAAAAGGAAAATACCCAGAAAGAAAGCTGTCAAGACAATGAAGAAGAATATCAAGAAAATCAAGAGAATTTAGGATATGAAGCAGATCTAAAAGAAAGTGTTGACAAAGAAGAAGACTATTATGAAGATATGCCAACATCTTCAAGACCTAATCTAAGAGATAGATCAACGTTAAGAAGTCCAGATTTTTTCGGAGAGAAAGTCTTAATTATAGAGGATTTTGTTAATACAATTAAAACTCCCGAAACCTATGAAGAAGCAGTCAACAGTCGCCAAAGCTCTCAGTGGAAAGAAGCTATGAAGAGTGAGTTGACGTCTTTAAAAGAAAACCAAGCATGGCAGCTAACATTCTTACCAGAAGGAGCGAAGGCTTTACCATGTAGATGGGTTTTTAAAGTTAAGTCTAATCCAGATGGTAGCGTAGATAAATTTAAGGCCAGATTAGTTATTAAGGGTTTTAATCAGAGACAAGGTATTGACTATAACCAGACATTTAGTCCGGTAGCTAGACTGGGCACAATTAGAACAATTTTAAGTATTGCAGCTAGTGAAAGAATGCATCTAGCTCAGTTTGATGTATCCACAGCATTTTTATACGGGGAGCTTGAGGAAACAATTTACATGAACCAGCCGAGAGGTTACACTGATAGTACCAATAGAGTTTGTAAACTTAACAGGAGCCTTTACGGACTAAAGCAAGCTCCAAGGTGTTGGAACAGACGTTTTGGGGTTTTTCTGAAAAAACTGGGCTTTATAGTAAGTGAAGCCGACCCTTGCCTTTACTTGAGAGAAAAAGAAGGCAGAAAACTTTATTGGCATTGTACGTGGATGATGGTCTAACTGCGGCAAGTGATTTGTGTGATCTAGAGGATTTCCTGGCTGAGCTCCAAACAGAATTTAAGATAACCACAAAATCTGCAGAGTACTTTTTAGGAATAGAAATTAAGAAAATTCATGATGGTTTTATTAAAATTAGTCAAAAAGCACATGCTAGAAGAATTTTAGAACGTTTTAACTTTTTAGATTGTAAACCAATTTCGACTCCTATTCTAAAAGCTTCAGAACCTACAAAAACAGGGAAAGAGTCTGAGAAACAGCATAACTTTCCATACAGGCAGGCGGTAGGAGCGTTAATGTATTTAATGCTGGGTACCAGACCCGATATAGCATACGCTGTAAGCTTTTTATCCAGAAATTTAGAAAATCCATCCTCAGAAGACGTAGTAAGGGTCAAGAGAGTATTTAGGTACTTAGCAGGTACTCTTGACCTTGGTATAGTATATTCGTCGGATGTAAATAAAAGAGTTTTAGAATGCTACAGTGATGCAGATTTTGGAGGATGTACAAAAACAGGTAGATCAACTACTGGAGTGGTTGTAACTTATGCAGGAGGTGCTATTTCATGGCTAAGTCAAAGGCAGGCAATGGTAGCTACATCCACCACAGAAGCGGAGATTGTCGCAGCTAGCGAAGCAATGAAAGAGGTGATTTGGTTAAGCACATTATTTAAGCAAATTATAAAACTTAACGACAATCCTATCCTTCGGGTTGATAACTCTGCAGCAGTAAAACTAGCTCAAAATCCTGAGTTTCATCGACGAACGAAGCATATAGCTACGAAACATTTCTTTGTTCGAGAAAAAGTCAATGAAGGTATATTGGAAATTGAGCAAATTTCAACAGAACTGCAAGTGGCTGATATAATGACTAAGGCTCTTCAAAGACAACGTATACAGATTCTGTCTACAAAAATGGGTTTAACTTTAATTAACAAGGGAAAGTGTTGAAGATATCAGTCTAATATGTTAAATAAAGTTAGCACTTAGTCACTATCAGTTAGGTAGTTTTATATTAGATAAGTTGATGTTTGTTTTTACTGTTGTCAATTTTTGATAGTCATATTGTATTATTCTGTCCCTTCATATTTTAATAAAATCTTTTTGAACACACTTACTGACGAGCCTTATTTCCACTGGAAATATCTATCGCAACAAATATATTATAAGAAAAACATATTATAAGAAAAATACATTTTTCTTATACATATAAATGAGGTAAAGGGTAAAGGTAAAATGTTTATTTTTGAAAAACTGTTACTGTTCGACAACCCTAATGACCTGAGATAAATATGTTTTTACTATAGGGTGTATTGCTTCATATAAACTGTAACTACTATTAAAACAAATTATAAATAAAGTGTTACATACTTTTCTGCCTTAATATGCTTAACTTTGGTACTTATAAACTGAGTATTGTTAAAAAATGCAGTAATTATATCTTGGTTTACAATGAGTAAAACACTTGAATCAACTTTTATAAATCCAGCTGACAAACTCATTAATAATAAAACTAAACCAATTAAAAAAGACAAAAGAAATAAATCGAGAGTTGAGAAAAAATGTATACAAAACAACAACGAATGTTAGGTTAGGTGGTCTAGGTGGTGTCAATTTTAAGTGTCACTAAGATGTGCGTTCACATCGACAATCTGTGTGTCGATTTGTTCGTTCGCTTGCTTCTGAAAAACAAAAAAACTTCAACCCAAACTGATTGGTCTATTCCCGATGACGTACACATTTCAAATTTTAAATTTAAATTGGTTTTAATTTAAAAACTTTTGGGTTTTTTAACAAACTGATTATTTAGAATAACTTGTTTAGCGACTAACTATTACAATATACTTTATAAAACAGCATATCTCACATGTGAACATGACCCATTAAAATATTTTTTAAAAATCCTTACTTTTTTTTTTGTTTCCTGAAGTCATTTATAAGAAATTAAAAAGAACTAAAACGTAATCGTTTTTAACTCGGGATAATTTTAAAAATATTCGTAAAATTATTTAGGCACTAATGGTATTACAAGTTATATCTCCCTAGACCAAATATCAGCGACTATTTCTCTAAAGAAATGGTCAATATTTGGTCTAGTAAAATAGTCGTCTCAAATATAACACAACCTTGATTAATATTCTGATATTTTTGTTGTCGCTAAATTTACAATTTAATTCTACATAATTTTGGCTTTAATGATCAATTAATTAATGCCAAAAATTATGTCTCATCAATTTAATAATAAAATATTCTATAGATTTAGATTCAACAAAAATAGCTGACTATTATCAAGGTCTTGGTATATTACCCTTGATTATTTCCCCCGTCTGTCTACTTTGACATTATCGTTAGAACAAATCAGAATCAAATAAATCGACTATTTTCACTTTGCTTAATATTTACCTATGTTGACAGCAACTCGTATACTTGATTATATGTGTAATATTTAATAACGGCTACTCGTCGGTTTACTTTTAAAATCTACTAAGTCTTAAATTAAGAACTTTGGAGTTTTTGATATTTTCTAATCTTATTCAACCCCGCCTATAAACTGACAAGGACTCCCAAGAATTTATTATTTGTAGCGACATCTGTTAGCTAATTTCATAACCTCCTAAGTCATATGTCACAAATATCGGTAATCAAAACCTCCTATGTCTGTTTAACGGGTTTCTCTGTGAAAGTGCTCGTCTTATTTCTTGCTAAACGGCAGTCAGCCTATCAATATAAAACAAAACTATGAATCATTTAATAAGGTAAGTACATTGTGTTAAAATAATAGTTTTTATTTATTCTAAAGAGCAAACTTACTTTTCTCTACTTACAAGATCTGGTCAGACTTAGGAGGTTTTAGAATATAAGATTTTTAAACGATTCTTATGACTTAGGAGTTTTGATGTTATAATTTCTTGTTTAACCTTTTGAAAATAAAATATTTTTTATTTTAATTTGTTAAAAGATTTATTGAGTGCGCTTATAAATACCTAATAAAAATGGAAGGTAACATAATTTTTTATAATATTATATCTTATGCAGAATCAAACGAACTCATATTCCTCTTAGAAACTAATTTTTTCTAACTTGCTTTAAAAAAATCTGTAGGTTGGGCTCCTCCTAATATCTCTTATTCTCATTTTTCAGAAGTAAAATACTTACAAGAACAATATTTTATATCAGGTCAATCCATTTTCTTCTTACAATGCCAAGAGTGCTTCGCATTTTTTTTTTACAAAAAATTATTGTGTCTTCGTAAGTTGATTTTTTAAAAAAGGTGCTATTATTTTAAAGCAAGAAAAATATTTCTAGGTAATGATGATGCCTGGCTCCTCCAGAGGCCAGCAAATAGCTGCCACGGGACGACAACTATTTATTAATTCAAATGAAGAGGACTCTATCAATATTTTAAGAAAAGAGGCACAGGATACTCATGAACTTTTGTCCAGTGCGGTTTCAGAGCCACGACCAGATCAACTTGATTGTATAGACATTGATGCAATAATACAGTTCAGTGAGAATAATATTCCTGAATCAGGAACAGAAAACTTGGGCATAGAAAATATTCAAGACTGCGAAACAATGTTCAAAACGAAGAGGCACAAGGATCAATAATTGATCAAGAAATTGTAGTACTTGACAATAGGATGGAGACACAATCTACAAATAAAGAGGAAGATACAGAAATCCAAAATTTCAGCGATGAAAATTATGAACCTAATACTGAAGATGTAGACATGTCAGAAAATAAGCCAGGAAACGAAAACGAAGGTGAGAATTATAATGAAGCAAGAACAGTGGATGAAGTAATCAAAAGAAAAAGAAAACCAAATAGACGGAAGTGGAAAATGCAAGAAAATAAAGCAAAACGACAGAAGGTAAAAGATTACACAGGAGTTCGAAAAAATGAAGAAGGGAAATGGATAGCAGACAAAGAGAGAGCCGCAAGAATTCTTAAACCAGCTTGCAATTGTAAGCTTAGTGCACAAAACACTAAACTTAAATGTAGAATGTTTTCTGAAAATGACAGAAACAGTATATTTGAGCATTTTTGGAAACGCATGTCTTGGTCAGAAAAAAGAACATTTATTCATACACTTGTTGATGTTGTGCCCACAAAAGACAACAAAAATCAAGTACATGAAGTATCACATAAAGCAAATACTTTGGTGTATCACTTAAAAAAGGATGATATGCGATTAAGAGTGTGCCGAACTATGTTATTACATACTTTGTCAATTGGGTCATGGTCCTTGCAAAATTGGTCAAAGTCCGTAAGAATACCAGAGCAAACTTTAAACATACCAGAAAGAAAGAGTGGAAGGTTTGAAAAAGACAGGGTAGAGCTGAAAACTTTTTTTGAGAGTCTCCCAAAGATGGAGTCTCATTATTGCCGTGCATCATCTAAGAAGTTATATTAGGAGCCAATGTGGTAATCAAAAATGAGTCTGTTTAATGAATATAAAAAATATTGCAAGAATATAAAAAATATTGCAAGAATAAACAAATTAATTACATGTCAATCAAAACATTTCACGAAACGTTTTCCGAAATGAATTTAGGCCTATATCGTCCCAAAAAAGACCAATGTGATATATGTGTAGGCTATAAGACTGGAAATATATTCGAGGAGAATTATAGGAGTCACATTCAGAGAAAAGATGCAGCCAGGGATAAAAAGGCAAAAGACAAAGAAAATGGTCAGCAACAGCATGTTTATACGATGGACCTTCAGTCCACTTTACTTTGCCCCATGTTGAAGGCCTCCTCAATTTATTATAAAAAGAAATTGGTTGTTCACAATTTTACCATCTACAATCTTAAAACCAACGATGGATATTGCTTCATTTGGAATGAAGCTGAAGGACAAATAAGTGCAAACGAATTTCCATGCATTATTTACTATTTTATAAAGACCCTAGCTAACGTCAAACAGGGCGAAGAAATAATTTTATACAGCGATGGATGTTAATATCAAATCCGTAATTCAACTTTGTCAAATACGCTGTTACATCTGGCTTTGGGACAGAAAATTACAAAACCCCAGAACAACATAGTACATGGACACACTCAAATGGAGTGTGATATCATGCATTCTTGCATAGAAAGAAACCTCAGGAACATGGAAGCTTATTCTCCGGCCTGCTTCATTTCTGCTGCTAAAGAGGCGAGGAAAAATCCAAGACCGTTCAATGTCGAATATCTACGGCACACATTCTTTAAAGACTTTTCAAAAATAAAGTATTACAATTCTATAAGACCAGGGTCAAAGGTTGGATATCCGACAGTTACAAATTTATGCGCCCTAAAGTATTTTTTGTCCGGAATAGAAATTAAATACAAGACCTAATTTTTGTCTGAATGGCAAATTCTGCTAAAAGGAACCAGAGCTAATTAAATGATTCCAGAGAAAATTGAAGCACTTTATAGAAAGCAAATCCCTATTAAAAAGTAAAAATATGAACACCTACAGCAGCTGAAACACGTAATTCCTCTTGATTACCACTTATTTTATGAAACTTTGCCATATAGCAACGACTAATTATTTAATGTGTTATGACTCATTTTCTTATTTGTATTAAAATAACATCTAAAAATATCTAAAAATTCTAAAATAAATAAACTATTTTTAAAAGCTCTGAAGTTTTTAAATCTTGTGTTAAAATCTCCGAAGTCCCGAAAAATATTTTTTTACATAAAAAAATACGTTCTCTATTTATTTATGATCATGTTTACTAACATAAAACAAAAAATAAATCATTATAGTGAGTAAAGGCCATAAAAATATAGTTTTTTGTACCCCGTGAAAAATTATCAAAAAGAGACTTAGGAGGTCTTGAAAGTAAGCCGACGTACTGTCAAATATATTTATTGTCAGAGTACAGCTAATATATTGTGGAACATTTCAAAATGAACCAAAAATAAAAGTTTTTAAAAGTTATTTTATTGTGTATTTAATAATTTAAGTTTTATCTGGGGCTCTTGAAATAATCTTATTAAATACAAATCGACCTTAATAAATTATAGCCTATTTCTATTGTTACTAAATTGTTCGTGTATTTTACAATTTGTCTCGACATAATTTTGTCCTTAATAATCAAAAATAGAGTCCTCGAGCTAAAGCTCAGACTATTAATGACAAAATTATTTATTGAAAAATTGATATCAAAAACACACAAAATTTAAATTCAATAAAAATTGTCGACTATATTACCCTTGAAAATTTTTTGTATGTTGCATGTTTCTTCTTTGTTTACGATAAAAATTATAGACAGTCAACATCCAATTACTAGTTTAACATAATTTTTTAATCTCTTTCTAATGAAAAAGCAATTTATAAAATCATGTATAACTTTTTATGCAAACTTGTTTGGCTTTGTTGTATTACAGGTATTTAGAAAAATATGTAGTAAAATGTATGGAAACAACAATGTTATAGATTTTATAATAATTGCTATAATTATCCTATTTGACGTCATTGGTACAGTTGTATTCATAAAAAAGTGAAAAAGTTGGTATTAGAATGTGATAACACCAGCCAGTATTACACAAATTAGATTTAATTCATCTCACATTCTGGTAAGTACCTACTTGTACCCTTTTTTATGCATGCAATTATGTATTTGTTCAAAAACAAATAAAAAATTTATAGTATTCGTTTTTCTTTTCATTGATACGGTCAGTGTTGAAAATTGGGCATTGACGATATTGACTGGACACTAATATCAGCAGCCATATTTGCTGACCAATATCGTTATTATCTGGACAGTAACGAAAATGCCCATTAATCGTGGACAATGTTGATAATATATTTTTTGTTTGCATCTTTGTTCGGCCATTATCGACATCGACCATCAATGAGGGGACAATGTTGAAAATATATTATTTTTTGCATCTTTGTCCGGCCATTAATGACATTGACTATCAATAAGCGGGTGAAGTTGATTTTAAAGAATTAAGTTGGTACTATGACTTAAAATTTTTATTTTCAAGGCTTTACCAGTAAGCTACTGTAAAATTAACATGAAAACATTATAATTATATAACTATTAATCAGTTTTATTGGAGCATCATAATGATCCATTACATTTGGAATTACACATTTTTTTCTTAGCGCGACAAGCGCATTTATTGTTTTTGCACCCACCCTTACAGTGACAATGCTTATATCCAGTGGCGGCTCGTTATAATTTAAAAAGGGTGTCCACAATTTTTAATTCTGTGCTCTATAGAAGAAAAAAAATATAATTTACACAATGTCGGGTACAATATTAATTCCTCGATTAATACAGTGCAAGAAAGAAACGTCAAGTTTAAATTATAGAAATAATGCAAAAACATGCTTACCTAATATAATCAGTGTCAGGTTTTTGCTCGGTTCATTGGGTAGTTCAGTAGTTTAATAATAATATTAATAAAAGTGTTTTTTAAGTTTTGCTGGTAAATGAGATAAATCCCTAACACCCGTTTTTGTCCTTTCTGATTTAGTATTTTCATTATTTGTAAAAACTAAACAAGGAAAACAAAACAAAGCATGTTGTTTATTACACCCGCACAACCACGAAGTTTTTTTATATTGTTCAATCTTAAAAGTATGTTTAAACTTTCTATTTCTTATGGCACATTCTTGAACAATGTTTATCTCCGATCGAGGTGGGCCATTCTTTCTTATAAGCACTCGATTCTCGAATTTATGTTTATTTGTTTTTATAAATTTCACCGAATACGATTCAATCGTACATAAACACTAGTAAATTCACACAGAACCTAAGACCAGTACAGCCAACCTCAAAACAACGAAAATTCGGTTCACGGAACACACAAATCCATAAAAAGTATAATTTGTAAAGGGATCTCGTGTCTCACTGAGTGTATTCTCACTTTCTTCTTTTATATATCGATAGACAAGGATAAAAATATATTCAGGTCCATATTTATAAACAGAACTCAGCTGAGTCGGAGTTGGGTAAGTCGTCCTTGAACTAAAATCAAAGTTCGGTTACAACGTCTCTAAAGTTCCAAGTGATTCCGGTGTCACACTGGAATTTAGAGATGGATATTGGCATAGCCACCTAAAACTACAAGCCATGCACTGAAAAAGGCAACGGCGCATCAGCTGACTGAAGTAGTCCTGGTTTGTGTGCTCTGAACTCACGTGAATTGACTTAACCGTTTTATCTATTCAATGTTGTATTGAATACCTAACCATAGAGAGAAAAACTATACAAAAATCTTAAAAATAATTGGGTCATAATAGGTATTGGTAAAAATTTTTGAAAATTTAATTCCAAGATCATTTAAAATAGGGTTAGATTCCGAAATGAAACGGATACTCACGTTCTTAAAAATGAATGTATATGTCGTTTATATTATTTATAAACAAATTATAGAATATACAGGTTAAGCAAATAAATAAAACAACTCATAAGTATTTATAAAATTTAATTTCACATTGATAAATATCTATTTATACATATATAAATAGGGAAAGACAAAATAGTTAAAAGTACCATTTTATCTTTTTTAATTTTTATTTAGCAGCTATTGACTAACTTTAATGTTATTAATAAAAAACAAAAAATTGACAACAGTATTTTTTCCCAATCTTCGTCTTATGAAGTCCTTTGATCCACAATTCATACATGTTTTTCTCAAATTTTAATAATAACTAACACTGTCTAATAATAAAGTGAGATAAAATATAATACTGAACTATATTATATTGTAAGTACATATGTTTATGGTCTCATATATACAATGAACGAATGTATAAGAGTAGAAAAAATGTTGGAAACATGAAAATTCATAGATGTTTTTCTCAAATTTTCAATAATAACTAACAATGTCTAAATATAAAGTGATATAATAAGATATAATAATACTGAACTATGTTATAGTGTAATAGGTACATATAAAAGTTTCTGGTCTTAAATGTACAATGAACGAATGTATAAGAGTAGAAAAAAAAATGTTGGAAACATGCAAATTCATACGTTTTCTTAAAATTTTCAATAATAATCAACAATGTCTAATATAATATAAAATGAGATAAGATATAATGATACTGAACTACATTATATTGTAAGTACTTACATATAAAAGTTTATGATTTCAGATACCAATACACTGAACGGATATATAAGAGTAGAAAAAATGTTGTAAACATGGAAATTCATGTACGTTTCTCTCAACTTTTCAATAATAACTAACAATTTCTAATATATTACGAATGATGACTCAAAGTGTACGATACGATAGTTACAGTCGCTTTACACCAGAAAGCAGCACTTAACGAGGCGTTTTAGCCACTAATTTCGGCGAATTTTAAAAAATAATTTACAAGAGATTAAGAGCTTAAATTTGGGGATTATATTAAGAATACTGCTGTTGAGGAATGCATTTATTTTCATTATGATATTTCAAAATTTAAAGCCCTTTGATGTTTTTTCTTGGAAACTAAAAATAATTAAATTTTAAAATATAAGCATATTCTAGATATTATTGCCTAATTTATTTTGCCAAAATTTTAACTTTTAAAAAAAATACTTTTTGAGATAGGCTTGTCCGAAAATTATAAGGGGGTACTGTACTCACCTTAAATAATTAATAATGGCATCAATAATATTTGAAGCCTTTAAAATATCTTGATAATAAATTCTGGAGTTGCGACCACCTACCTAATTTGCATTTATGTGGTAAAATCCATTATAAATCTCGTGGTGATAGTTGCACATCATTAGTAAACACTGACACAGTTAAATCCATACCAACACTTATGCTAGAAATAATTTTAGGACACTCATCGGAACAATCTGGAGTACTAATATTAAGCATGTAAAAGTAAATCCTTTCTGGTAAAATTTTTACATTCCAATTATTTAAAATAACTTTCACATTCACTTGTCCACATAATTCACTAAAAATTTTTATTAGATCAGCATCTAAAAATTCTGCAACTTCATTTTCTTGTCTTTCAAATATTTCAGCTCTTCTTTGTTCAGGATTTCTTCTTTCTGCATTTTTTGGATTTG